AGGCAACTTTGTTTAAATCAACAGAAATTTTGTTGCCAAAAGTAGAACACTGTTCTTCTTTTGGCAACGACGTTTACATACGTGAAAGTATCCACAAAGTTGCTATAGTGGATGTTGGGCTATAGGCCTCCGGGCCATACACTAAGCAACGTGTTGCTAGCAGCATTTGTGGTTACTTTGATCTTGTAAGCAACATGTTGCCAGAAATAGAAGGCTGTTCTATTTCTGGCAACATGTTGCTTACAAGATCAGAGTAACCACAAATGCTGCTAGCAACATGTTGTCTAGTGTATGGGGGCCTTGTGAATTATGAACAGGTATAGCAGGAAGTGTAATAAAAATGGACACTGCTCTCCCAGTCTTAATTGACAAAATAGCCATTCCCTGTTATGTTCACATGTTCATACAGTACCCCAGATCAAGGGTTTGATTTATGTGCTAATCCAACAGAGCCTGGAGTTAATGGATGTAACAACATTGGTTGGGATGAACTGATACTCTATCCATTTATATTATATGGAATATGGATGGCATACTATGTACTAATAGTAAGTTATATAATATCGTACTAATGAGTTGACATTCATAACACTTCAGGTCTTTTATTGGAAGGAAAAGATTATAAAAGACTGAGAGAAAATACATGACAGCATTCACAATAATGTCACAAGAGAAGAAAGGTGGTCTTATATATTCAATTACTAACTGTCTGGGACTAAAGTATCAGAAACAAATGTACTTTGTTGCTTACACAGTAATGGGATGCTAGTTATAGTTAGTTAACTAAAAGTAAATCTGGCCTAACTAAAAGGGTTTTAGTTTTAGTTATAGTTAACTAAAACAACACTATTTATCGTAAGTATATATAGCCACTACTGACTGTAGACAGATTGACTGATCAACTTTATGTCATTTTTATTTACTATTATCTTGTTCACTACCTCTTCTTTAGGTTAGTGTATTAATTACATTTTCTTTCTGGGGTTTGTCCTGGTTGCCAGTTACAATGGAGCTACTTTCTATATCAAGGTTGTTGGGAAAGAATATTATAAAAATGAAGAAAAGAAAAATGAATGAATTATACAGTTCATACTGAGTAGCTAATATGTCATTTTGTTATTATGCCAGTGCATCATTGGATTACATGCAAGTTTATTGAAATGACTGCTAAAACTGATATTTTTACAATAACAATAAAGTTAGATCTGTACTGCTAATATTCGTGAGTGTCTTCATAATTTATACCATTAACTGAGTGTATGGAGTGTTTTGAAGTATAGTCATTCAGTCCAGCACTATATAAACTCCAAATACAACATTAGTGCAATGCATAGTAGTATCTAACTTGATTACAGCCAATATTTGGAGCTGTTGCTAGTTGCTATGGCTTCTTCTAATAAGCAGCCATGAATGTTAAGATATGATACAACAGTATTAAAGGAAGTTGGCCCTTAATAGTTAAAGGAATAAAAAATTAATTAATAGAAAGCCAGAAAGAAAGAGAAATAGATTAATGAGAATGTCTGCTAACAAAGATAACAATGGTAAGCTCTAGATAGCAGTAACTCATACACTAATGATACCTCATTAGGAGAGCCTGATACTGATGCTGTATACATTAGGAACCAGTTTGAGTATGATAGGATGCAGTCAATACATGAAGATATTGTTGCTATTGAGAAATTCCATGAGATGAAGGACTCAACTGCAGACACCATCATCTATACTGTGTTTGTTTTTGAAACATTAATAACAGTGTTCCTAGCTGGGATGATCACTGAACACTATTACATTATACACTCGATTGTAAGTATAGTCCATGTGTACAATAATATACATCATTTGTTTTAACTTAGAAACTGTCAATCCTCCTACCAGTGAAATACTATTTGCTTAAAAAAGACAATTTACAATACCGGTTGATAGAGCTATGCTACTATACACACGGACTCATCATGTTCTACATATGGTCTCCATGGAAACCTCCTGGATTGTTCCCTGCTCTGTTTTTCGCTGCTCATGGCCCACTGATATGGGCTATATATTTTTGGAGATTTTCTTTCGTGCCTCACTCAATAGACAAAATGGGCCAATTGTTCTTTCAGACTTCACCAGCTATTTGCACATGGAGCATGAGATGGTAAATTTCAAAAAGTTTTAGTTCAACTGACCAATTTAGAGTTTCCTCCAATCACCAAAGCTTGAATTAAAATGCATGCAACTGATGCAAGACTAAAAATACAGCTCAATAGATGTTAGCAGGAGTATAATAGGTTTATAAAAACAAACAATTATAATTGCTGTGAAATAGATTAGAGCCTGTATTGCGACCAGAAATTATAATATCAATCCATGTCTACATTAGGTACAGTACCCCAGATCAAGGGTTTGCCTTGTGTGCTAATCCAACAGAGCCTGGAGTTAATGGATGTAACAACATTGGTTGGGATGAACTGCTACTCTATCCATTTATATTATATGGAATATGGTTACTCTGCTATGTACTAATAGTAAGTTCAGTTCATGTATAGGAATAATAACGTGTTTACATTCATGACACTATAGGTCTTCTATTGGAAGGCTAAAGTTATTGAGAAAAATACATTTTCTACAGCAGCCACAGCAGTACTGTCAAAAGATAAGAGAGCAAAGGGCCTAGGAATGATATATACACTGACTCACCTTTTTGGACCTAAATACCAAACACAGATGTACTTTGTTACATACACAATAATGGGATTCTTGTTTTGTGCACTAGCATACTTGTGCTTTATATCGTAAGTAACAATCAAACACTAGAGGCATTAAACTTACTATTTATTTTATTTGTAGGTTTGCTTTCAATTGTGTGTTCTTTTTTACATTTGTGCTAGTTGCCTGTTACAATGGAGCTACTTTCTATATCAAGGTTGTTGGGAAAGAATATTATAAAAATGAAGAAAAGAAAAATGAGTAAATTAGAAGTTCATCATTTTTTTATTACGCCAGTGCATCATTGAATTAGAATTTATTACAAGGTGTTAAGATTGACATTTTTGACAATGAGAATAATATTAGATCTATACTGCTATAACATTGATCAGTGTCATCATAATGTAGACCATTATATTATATTGTATGGAGTTAGTTTGAAGTATAGTCATACAGTCAAACACTATAAACTCCTAATAAAATATTAGTGCAATATACATAATAGTACTTGAATTACAGCCAAACCTAATGGTAGTTGCTATGGCTTCTACTAATCAGCCATGAATGCTATTACTTGGAAGTGCTAAAGGAAGTGGGCCCTTAATTAAAGGAAAGGAGAAGAAGCCAAAGAAAAAAGCCTGAGGAAGATTAATGAGGATGTCTGCTAACAAAGATAGCAATGGTAAGTTCTAGATAGCAGCAACTGATACACTAATGATACTTCATTAGGAGAGACTGATACTGATGCTGTATACATTAGGAACCAGTTTGAGTATGATAGGATGCAGTCAATACATGAAGATATTGTTGCTATTGAGAGATTCCATGAGATGAAGGACTCAACTGCAGACACCATCATCTATACTGTGTTTGTTTTTGAGACATTGGTAACAGTGTTCCTAGCTGGGATGATCACTGAACACTTTTACATTGTACACTCGATTGTAAGTATAATAATAATGTGCCTATCAATAGTATCCCCACCCCCTCCTGGGGCAGTTATGGGAAAGCCCATGAATTGATTTTCAAAAGTTCATAGAAAGTTCACAAAATATTAAGCTTTATTATTTTGTGCTTATTGAGAGTTTTAGACACCCTTAAAATTTTGATTTACTTTTAAATTAATTAACTATTAAGTAATTAAAATGTAGACAAAATTACGTATTTCGAAGGCAATGGGACAGGTTCATATAAAAGTTCATAGTTCATGTGCAATAGTTCGTAGAAAGTTTATAGATAAAAAGTGGTTGCTAGTAAGCTCACAAGAGGCACCAAAACTTCACAAATCTATGAACTTTGTTAATGATCTGGCAACCCTGGCTATGGGACTTTTAATGGGGCAATATCTATGAATGGGGCAAGTTCTCCAATTTCTTTTCCCATGGGTGGGGAAAGGTGGAGCATTGTACACGTGCTAAACTGCTTGAAAAATGGAGCCTAAAAAGGCAAAAAGAGCATAGTTGTGCAGCGAGCTAAAGGAACTTTGTCAGTCCTGCATGTATAATAGAATTTAAACTTAGGACAAAAATATAGGGGGAAAGATGGGGGTAAGATGGAAGAAAGTACATTCTACAGAAGCCCCATATAGGTGGGGGATTGCAACTCACAAACATGAAAATCCCCCTACTTCCCCCACCTTCCCCCTAGTCTGGCCCCGCCTCTTTGTTGCACAGGGGTGGCGCCACCCCCATGCAACGAAGAGGCGGGACCAGACTACCTTCCTTCAGGAGAGGGGTGGGGCATACCATTGATAGGCGTTTAAACATTTATTTTGTTTTAATTTAGAAAGTTCTAGTCCTCCTACCCTTGAGGTGGTATGTGTTCAAACAAATTGGTAAACATTATTTCATGCTGGAGCTCTGCACATGGATACACATACTCATCATGATCTACATATGGTCTCCATGGAAACCTCCTGGGATGTTCCCTGCTCTATTCCTATTTGCTCATGGTCCACTGATATGGTCAGTTTATAACTGGAGGAATGCATTTGTACCTCATTCATCAGAGAAGATGTGTACACTGTTCATTCATATAGCACCAGCATTGGTCACTTGGAGCATCAGGTGGTGAGTATTAATACAGTTAGTTTGATATGGAAGCCAAAGCAATGCAAGGCAATAAATAAATACTATGACCTCAGTCTTGCTTTTATTTATAACATGTAGCAGAAAGTACAACACAAATGAAGACTGGTCTCCTAGTTGACAAATTCATCCATGTTTACATTAGGTACAGTACCCCAGATCAAGGGTTTGAGTTGTGTGCTAATCCAACAGAGCCTGGAGTTAATGGATGTAACAACATTGGTTGGGATGAACTGATACTCTATCCATCAATAATATATGGAATATGGATATCATACTATGTACTAATAGTAAGTTATCTACTGGTACTAATGAGTTTATATTCATAACTAATGTATAGGTGTTCTATTGGAAGGAAAAGATTATAAAAGAGAAGAAATACATGACAGCATTCACAATAATGTCACAAGAGAAGACAAAAGGCCCTATCTCTAGAGCTACTAATTGTCTGGGACCAAAGTATCAGAAACAGATGTACTTTACTACAATTACACTTGGTTCTGGGTTGTATATAGTAATGGCATACTTATGCTTTATATCGTAAGTAAATATAATTATTCATAATAATTTAGAAAGTATTTAGTTATAATTTTACTTTACATTAATTTTGCTTATTCTTAGGTTAGTGTATAATTACATTTTCTTTATGGGGTTTGTCCTGGTTGCCTGTTACAATGGAGCTACTTTCTATATCAAGGTTGTTGGGAAAGAATATTATAAAAATGAAGAAAAGAAAAACGAATAAATTATACAGTTCATACTGAGTAGCTAATATGTCATTTTGTTATTAGGCCAGTGTATAAAACTACTTTTATTGTTTACAATATTTAAATACTGTCATGCAGTGTCATTAATACAGTCTACTATATAGATAGACTGTATAGTCAAGTATCATAATAATAATCCAATTTCATGCAGCCATGCATGGTTGCTATGGTCAACCCTGATAATATGTTAATTGGATATGATCCAATAGTCAGTGCTAAGGGAAGTTGGCCCTGAAAAAGGAAAGGAGAAATAGAAACAAGGAGTAAGGATTAATGAGAATGTCTGCTACCAAAGATAACAATGGTAAGTTCTAGATAGCACCAACTGATACACTAATGATACCTCATTAGGAGAGACTGATCCTGATAATCATGTACATATTAGGAACCAGTTTGAGTATCACAGGATGGAGTCAATACATGAAGATATTGTTGCTATTGAGAAATTTCAAAAGATGAAGGACTCAACTGCAGACACCATCATCTATACTGTGTTTATTTTTGAGGCATTAGTAACAGTGTTCCTAGCTGGGATGATCACTGAACACTTTTACATTGTACACTCAATTGTAAGTATAGTCCATGCATGGTATAATAATGAATTATCATTTGTTTTATTAGAAACTTTTGATTCTCCTACCAGTGAAATGGCATTTGCTCAGGAAAGATGACATGGATTATCGGTTGCTAGAGCTATGCTACTTTATACATATACTCATCATGTTCTACATATGGTCCCCATGGAAACCTGCTGGAATGTTCCCTGCTTTGTTCTTCTTTGCTCATGGTCCTCTGATGTGGTCAATGTATTTATGGAGAGTTGCTTTTGTGCCTCATTCAATAGACAAAATGGCCCAGTTATTCTTCCAGACTTCACCAGCTATTTGCACATGGACCATAAGATGGTAAATTATGAAATAGTGAATATCAATTTAATATTATAACACCTCCTCCAATCACCACATATTAAGATGTATGTAAGCCTATATGGTAGAGCTTTACTCATAAAACTCAGGAAAGACCATTAGTATCAGTAACATAGGTTAAAAGCATTATATTGCTGTGAAATAGGTTACTATAGGGTATCGAGTATTGCATGTCTACATATTAGGTACAGTACCCCAGATCAAGGGTTTGCCTTGTGTGCTAATCCAACAGAGCCTGGAGTTAATGGATGTAACAGCATTGGTTGGGATGAACTGATACTCTATCCATTCATAATATATGGAATATGGATGGCATACTATGTACCAATTGTAAGTTATATGCAACATAATAATGAGTTTATATTCATGACACTATACAGGTCTTCTATTGGAAGGCTGAAGTAATAAAAAAGAATAAATTGGCTACAGCAGCAACAGCAATACTGGAAAAAGACAAGAGTGCTAAGAGCCTAGGAATAATAAATACTATGGTTCACCTCTTGGGACCTAAATATCAAACACAGATGTACTTTGTTGCAAGCATTCTAACTGGATACTTCCTACTGATACTGGCATACTTTTGCTATATATCGTATGTTGTCATAAATCATAACACATACATGCAGTGGTGCATTTATTATAAACTAATGTTGTAGGTTTGTTTTCAATTGTGTTCACTTTCTTACACTTGTCCTGGTTGCCTGTTACAATGGAGCTACTTTCTATATCAAGGTTGTTGGGAAAGAATATTATAAAAATGAAGAAAAGAAAAATGAATGAATTAAAAGTTTATAGTACTGAGTAGCTAACATGTTTTTTGCTATTACGACAGTGCATCATTGAATTACAATTAATTTCAGTGCAATGTGTTTAAATTGATATTTTACAATAACAATAATGTCACTAAGATACTGCTAACATTCATGAGTGTCATTATAATGTAGACTATTATACTGAGTGGAGTGTTTTGAAGTATAGTCATATAGTGAAGGACCTATAAACTCCTAATCAAATTACTGTAATCCAAAATAGTATCTAACTTGATTACAGCCAATAAATGGAGCTGTTGCTAGTTGCTATGATAGCAGCTTCTAATAATCAACCATGAATGTTGATGCAAAAGTGTTGAAGGAAGTTGGCCCTTAATAATTAAAGGAAGGAAGAAGAAGCCAGAAAGAAAGGGAAGAACATTAATAAGAATGTCTGCTAACAAAGATAACAATGGTAAGTTCTAGATAGCAGCAACTGATACACTAATGATACCTCATTAGGAGAGACTGGTACTGATGCTGTATACATTAGGAACCAGTTTGAGTATGATAGGATGCAGTCAATACATGAAGATATTGTTGCTATTGAGAGATTCCATGAGATGAAGGACTCAAGGGTAGACACCATCATCTATACTGTGTTTGTTTTTGAGGCATTAGTAACAGGATTTCTAGCTGGGATGATCACTGAACACTATTACATTGTACACTCAATTGTAAGTATAATAATAATGTATTATGACATAGTTATTTTATTTTAATTTAGAAAGTTCTAGTCCTCCTACCATTGAGGTGGTATGTGTTCAAACAAATTGGTAAACATTATTTCATGCTAGAGCTCTGCACATGGATACACATACTCATCATGTTCTACATATGGTCCCCATGGAAACCTCCTGGGATGTTCCCTGCTCTGTTCCTCTTTGCTCATGGTCCTTTGATATGGTCAGTCTATTACTGGAGGAATGCATTTGTACCTCATTCATCAGAGAAGATGTGTACACTGTTCATTCATATAGCACCAGCATTGGTCACTTGGAGCATCAGGTGGTAAGTTTTAATACTCTGAAGTTACCTTGATATGCAAGCAAAGCAAAGGCAAAGTGTCAAATGAATACTATTCATGGAGGTAGCTTCTCTTCTCACTTGCTTTTAAATAGTACAAGCTACTGGAGAAGCATTTTAAATGATTAGTGATCAGATAACGTATGAACATGTAGCAGAAAGCACAATAAAATGAAGACTGGTTTCCTAGTTGACAAATTCATCCATATCTATACATTAGGTACAGTACCCCAGATCAAGGGTTTGACTTGTGTGCTAATCCAACAGAGCCTGGAGTTAATGGATGTAACAGCATTGGTTGGGATGAACTGCTACTCTATCCATTTATAATATATGGAATATGGATGTCATACTATGTACTAATAGTAAGTTATCTACTGGTACTAATGAGTTGACATTCATAACTAATGTATAGGTGTTCTATTGGAAGGAAAAGATTATAAAGGAGAAGAAATACATGACAGCATTCACAATAATGTCACAAGAGAAGAAGAGAGGTGCTATCTATACTGTTACTAATTGTCTGGGACCAAAGTATCAGAAACAAATGTACTTTTCTGCTTATACACTAGGAGCTGCGTTCTATATAGTAATGGCATACTTGTGCTTTATATCGTAAGTAAAATAGACAATCATTTCATTATAGTTTAGATATTATGTAATTATGATTTTACTTTATAGCTTATTATTATCTTATTCTTAGGTTAGTGTATAATTACATTTTCTTTCTGGGGTTTGTGCTGGTTGCCAGTTACAATGGAGCTACTTTCTATATCAAGGTTGTTGGGAAAGAATATTATAAAAGTGAAGAAAAGAAAAGTGAATAATTGAACAACTTGCAAGACATTCACATTGACAATACTTCTTTTACAATATGATAATACTTAAGTTAGTTAACATACACACGTACAAATTTGTAATAGAAGTGAGCTGATACATAAAAAACTGTTACATGTGATATTTTCAATTAAATTCAGCGGTGATCAGTAAGCTCATTGCACAGATGGTCAATAAATTCATCAGCTCTATCTCCAGTGGACACAACACAATACTCCAGCTTGTCAATGACCCTGTCAGCTAAATCCAAGGCAATCAAAAAGCACCTAATATATATTTTTAAAACTTCACTATAGTCAAACATTTCTGTTTATACGTACCAGCCTCTGTTAGACAATATGGCATTAACACGCCATTTTAGAAGCTTCTGCTCAGCAAAGTCTTTAAGATTCATGAACTCTTCTCTCCCTTTGTCTATGACCCGCCCGACTCCAGAATCCAGAAATGAAATCCAACACCTATATAATATTTACATCTAAAGTTACAGCAAACATTTAACTATAACCGTGAACTGCGTGAAGACATTTCAACGAAGAATCCTTTTCTTTTCAACAAAAAAGAAGACACGACACTTGATACTCCTCCCACCATGGCACGTGATAATTCTGACATGACAATATGCATAGTGACGGCCTCTGACGCAAGTATACAAAATCTATTTTTAGACAACAGCAATTCATTAATTAAAATCAAGTGTGTTTTTTGCCAAAAGACTATGATGAGACCATAGCAAGCAATTAAAATGATCTAAAGAACGAGCTGATCCCTTTATAAAAAATATTATACTATCAGCTAGACTATCAGTGGCCTTAATGTAAAAACCATTACCATCTCTTAACTATATCTTAGTAATATTAAACAAGGCCAACTGTAAAGAAGGGGATGGATAATACAATTAGAATAACCTTGAGTAGCATGTACATGTACAACACTGTGAACATATTAGTTATGTAAACATACTAGGACCATATCAGCTACATTCATCATGTATACTCTTAAGTTACAATGCATGAAGATAGCTTACCATCAGTATAGGAGAAACCATTGATAACTGCTACCTTGTCATGTTTTCCAGTCCTTCCCAGTATTACAGTATTACCAAGACTGGATAGTATCTAAAACACTAAATAATAATCCACTCTTGGTATTACAGGTAGACTAACAGTGTCAGTCCTGTTCAATCAGAGACACCGTCAAGAGAAGAGCGGCAACATCAGCCGTAACTTAAGACTGAAATTAGATCTAAGACATTCTTTTAATATTTGCATGCAAATACTACTCCAACCACCTACCTCTAACCATAGACATAATTGATTTAGAGAGCAGTTGACTGGCTGCAGATCTACTGCAAAGTGCAGTGTCAAATTTAATCAACAGTAGGTGTGGTCACAAGTGAAGCTAATTAATTTAAGTAGCAATGGGTGCATTAAAGAGGTACAGTTATTCAGTGAGCACAGTTCTACTGGTGTTGCTGTTTGGAGCGGCTGGAGTCTTTAAAGTACTGCCAGTCTTTATTGACATGCCTGGGAATGACATGGTAAGATACAGCAACTAGCCATGAGTGATCATGTAAAAGGGTTTCAAGTTTAGTTAAAACCAAGGCAGTCACTTTAAATATGAAAGGTGGTCTTAATTAAGCTGCTGTATATGATACTAGTATTATCTGTGGGCCTGGTACTCTGTACTATAGCTTTTGCATAGTTTTGAAGTAACTTTAAAAAATTTTTAAATGCAGTTTCGTAATAAAAATTTCAACCTCAAATTGTGAAATCTTAAAATTCTCCTCAATTAATGCATGTATATCTATGTATACTTTTATAATAATAACTATACTCTCTCTCCATTAGCCAGTTCAGTTCCGTCGTTATGTCCGTACACCTCCATTGAGCTACATAAAGGTTCATCCTGACCTGTACATGTTCAGTGTTGGTCTCTCAGAGCTGATAGCAGCAGGTATCATCATACTAGCATCAAGAGGAGGCAGGGCACAGACACTGGCCACTTACTATCTGGGAATAGTAATGATAGGGGCTGCTTATACTCATGCTATGGTGGGGGACCCAGTGGAGAAGTTTGGAGGAGTATTGATGGGGAGTGTACTAGTGCTGGTGAGACTGTACTCCATGAACAAGTTGAAGTTCAAGTTTGACTGAAAGAAACTATTAATATTACTAGCTATCATCATGCATTACCTCAGTATGAGCTCAGCACAGTACATTATACATAATAGTACTAGTAGTATTGAGTGTATGTATGTGATAATAAGTTTCTTTCTTTCTTTCGTAAATTGATGCCATTAATAATTGTTAAAATGTTGTTACACAGTGAGAGAGAGAGAGAGAGAAAGAGAGAGAGGGTGAGGGTTAGTTTTAAGTTTGTGTGTTCAAGGCTTGTCTTCTGTTGAAAGCCAGTCTCCTCTCAAGACTAGACCCAGTCTACTGAATGAAAATAATATAATGAAACCAGTCACTCTCTCTTAGTTAAAATCTTTTGTATCATCATGACTACGTATACTTGTTTGAAATTTGAAAAGTTTGATCCTAATTACCAGTGTTTTGTACATTTTCATTATGTGCTTATGGTCTAAATATATACATGTACATGTATATTCCCTTATATATAGACATAATGTGCCTGTATAAGCTACTGACCTGTCTCAGTGATGGGTAGTACTTGTGCTCCACTGCTTTATCAATGAACTTCATAGTCTCAATGAACTGCTGGGACGAGAGACTGAAGTGCTGGATATCTTTAGAAGCTGGGCTAAGCTGAGCTGGATTCTATATATATTTGCTCATTATTGTTGTAAATTGTGTATTTGTATATTTCCATTACAATTATTATTCTCTTTATTATGATTATTTGTATTGTTATGATTTCTGTTAATATTGTTATTCTTATTATTACTATAGCTGTTATTACTGTTTTGTACTATTATTATTATTGTTCTTATTTCGTATTTGTATGTGTACAATGTTTCTTTTCCCTATAGGCTGTGTTGTTATGTCATATTGTGTAACTGATGACGTCATAATTCTTTTCTTATATAATGCATGCTTTTATTCATTTTCTGTGTTCGAGAGATTTGAGAGTTTTTTTATGGTTCCTTTTGTTCAAAAAGATAAGGCGTTCATCATGACCTCCGCTCGGTTACTACAATTATTATCTTATTCTTAGGTTAGCGTAAAATTACATTTTCTTTCTGGGGTTTGTCCTGGTTGCCAGTTACAATGGAACTACTTTCTATATCAAGGTTGTTGGGAAAGAATATGAAGAAATTGACGATTTAACAACTTGCAAGACATTCAAATCAATTTTACATCATGCTATACTTTTATTAGGACATCTAGTTAATAACCAACGACCCGAATGGTAAATATACTATTATATGTAATTATTATTAATTACTATTCATCAAAGTCAACTTAGTCCATATTGTCAATAATTTGATCAATTTTATTCCCAATGGCCTCAACACAGTTCTCCATACTATCAATGACCTTGTCAGCTAAATCCAAGCCAACGAAAAAGTACCTAATATGTATTTTAAAAACTTTACTGAAGTCAAACATTTCAGGTTATACATACCGGCCTCTGTTAGACAATATGGCATTAACACGCCATTTTAGAAGCTTCTGGTCTGCAAAATCTTTGAAATTCCTGAACTTCTCTCTCCCTTTGTCAATGACCCGCCCGACTGTTGATTCAAAACACCTATATCCATAATATTTACATATTAAGTTACAGCAAGCATTTAAAATGTCCAACTAGCCTCGCAGACATTTCAAAGCAAATATCCTTTTCTTTTCAACGAGAAAGAGGACACGTCACTTAATACTCCTCCCACTTTGCCACGTGACGTTAAGATTGCTGACATGACACTTGCATGATGCAAGTACACAAAGTCTATTTTTAGACATCAGAAACACATTTGTGTTTTTTGCCAAAAAATGTGAGACTGATCCTTTTTTCAAAAAAGTTATACTGTCAGTGATGACCTTAAGGAGAAACAAATACTAAACTACAGTATATCTTAGCAAGATAACAAGCTATAGGCCAGCAAAGAAAGAGCATGATACTGGACTCTTGATAATACAATTTAGAATAACCTTGAGTAGCATGTACATGTACAACATGTTACTTATGCAAACTTAGCATCATCTAAACAGCTGTTAACTATAATACACGCTCAACAACTGTTCATTATAATGCAGTGTATTGCAAGATACCCTTACTTACCATTGGTAGCTGTTACTGGCCCTGTCATGTTCTCCAGTCCCTCCCAGTACTATAGGATCACCAAGGCTGGATAATACCTGAAACACTAAGTAATAATCCACTCTTGGTAGACTAGTCCTCTTCCTCTCAGAGACTGCATGACACTCTTGTCAAGAGAAGAGTAACATCACCAGCTAGCCTAGCTATATCAGCCGTAACACTGAAATGTAATTTGATCTAAGACATTTTTTAAATATTTTCACCACAAATATAGACATTTCTCCAACCACCTCCTTTTAATCATAAAGAACACGTAAATCATTATTTTTTTGAATTAATTATCAACACAGAAGGTGTGGTTAGGACTCACATGTAGATCTAGTGAAAACAATACAGCTATACTAACAATGGGTGCATTGAAGAGGTACAGTTATTTAGTAAGCACTGTTCTACTGGTGTTGCTGTTTGGAGCGGCTGGAGTCTTTAATGTGCTACCAATCTTTATTGACATGCCTGGGAACGACATGGTAAGATACAGCAACTCGCATTACTGCATTAGAATGCTGGTGGACTCCGAGCCTGCTCCGGGCCGGACGGCGAACTCCTCTCAGACTACTAAATCTAATCAAATTTCATAGTTTGTACCTGTAGATCTATCTATAGTTAGTTTTTACGCTTTGCCACAAGTTGGTATGTGTCCAGTGTCCTTCAGACTCATCATCCTTTAATTATCTTATAGTGTTTCATGTTTTGTGCATGTTTTCAGTTTTGTGTCTGAGGCTTCTAGTTTAGTAAAAAACTATCAGTGGCTTTGAAAGGTGGCCTTAAGTTGCTGTATGTGGTACTGGTATTACTCTATGGTCCTGGTAGCCTCTACTATAGCTCTTGCATGGTTTTGATTTGAAGCAACTTACGGTATTTAAAAAAATTTAATGCAATTTCGTAATAATGTTTCAACCTCAAATTGTGACAATTTTAACATAAAATTTTCCTCAATCAATATACTTTTATAATAATAAATATATACACTCTCTTTCCGTTAGCCAAATCAGTTCCGTCGTTTTGTCCATATACCTCCATTGAGCTATCTAAAGGTTCATCCTGACCTCTACATGTTCAGTGTTGGTCTGTCAGAGCTGATAGCAGCAGGTATCATCATACTAGCATCAAGAGGAGGCAGGGCACAGACACTGGCCACTTACTATCTGGGAATAGTAATGATAGGAGCTGCTTATACTCATGCTATGGTGGGGGACCCAGTGGAGAAGTTTGGAGGAGTATTGATGGGGAGTGTACTAGTGCTGGTGAGACTGTACTCCATGAACAAGTTGAAGTTGAAGTTTGACTGAAAGAAACTATTAATATTACTAGCTATCATCATGCATTACCTCAGTATGAGTTCAGGACAGTACATTATACATAATAGTACTAGTAGTATTGAGTGTATGTATGTGATATAAGTTTCTTTCTTTCATAAATTGATTCCATTAATAATTGTTAAAAATCTTGCAGCGAGAGAGAGAGAGAGAGAGAGAAAGAGAGAGAGGGAGAGGGTTAGTTTTAAGTTTGTGTGTTCAAGGCTTGTCTTCTGTTGAAAGACTGTCTCCTCTCAAGACTAGACCCAGTCTACTGAATGAAAAGAATTTAATGAAACCAGTCACTTTCTCTCTCTCTCCTTTAAAGTAAAATCTTCTGTAATCTATAACGTGTTTCAAAATGACAGTCACTTCATTTAGTGTGAATCTAATACCGTGATTACCTAATCTAATATCGTGACTACCTAATCATTTGAAATTTGACCAACAACTGTGTACATGTACATGTATATGTACTTATGGTCTAAATACACATGTACATGTACATTCCCTCATTACATCATGACTCCAGACATAATGTACCTGTATATGCTACTGACCTGTCTCAGTGATGGGTAGTACTTGTGCTCCACTACTTTATCAATGAACTTCATAGTCTCAATGTACTGCTGGGACGAGAGACTGAAGTGCTGGATATCTTTACAATTCTAATAATCATGGAACACAATCACTCCAACATAATATGTAATTTAATAATTTAATTTATGATACACCAGGCTGCTAGAATTACACATGTACATGTACATGAAGGTTCGAATAACTTAAGATTAATTTTTTAGTATGTAGTGATAAACAATTCTCATTTATATTAATTCAATATTAGCAGTTAATTTATTATCATTACCATTGTGATACTGTTTGCTCCTAATAGGTTCCCTGATCTTTGAGTGGGTGGGCTCCTCCGCCCACTCACTTGATCCTATTAATAACTATTAATAACTAGTTATAACTATTAGTATAACCACACCTCTTTAGTTCCAACTATTAATAATGGAACCTCTTGCTCGATAAACTTCTCAGGATCAAAACCGCTAGAAAATTAATAATAATAATAATAATAATAATAATAATAATAATAATAATAATAATTAATAATAAGAATTGTGTTAGAAAGTTTGAGCTGAACAGCTGATTCTGATCAAATTTGGAATTTTTTACAAATTTTTAATGCTGCTCCAAAATCGGGCCAAAGTCACTGTACTACACAGATCATTTAGGCCAAATTTCACAAAAAATGAAAGAGAGAATTCTCAATTTTTATTGCATTTTCTGATACATATTCATGCTCTTATGTTGCATAAAAGTTTGAACTGATTTGAGAATTTTTCCAAATTTTGCCAAAATTGAAAAGGGCAATACTGTATAGCCGGTAATTTTTGCGGGTTGCAAATTTTTTAGATTTCGTAGATTCCTTCCAGATTCGCAAAAAATAAATCCACAAATATCAGCACACGTGGTAGAATTTGCAAAATTAAAATATGTGAATTGGAATTTTAGGAGATTTTGTGAAATATAGAACCCACGGAAATTACCGGCTATACGGTATCACATTTCCTGATGCATGTATAAGTACTTAAGCTCCTCCCAGTATTATTTACCTTTCGTTGGTATCCTGTGGTGCTAGACTATCGGTTCTACCTGAGGGGCGGGGCAGAGGGCGGAGTCACATAATAATTAAATAAAAAATAATAATATTTACCAGTTTTGTATCGATGATATTCGGTCAGCCATTTTGATAAATTATTGTGAGACTTTCTGTTAGTGGAATCATGTACTAAAATAACACCTAAAATAATAAAAATATTAATATTAATAATAATAATATCATTAATGTAATTGGTACCATTAGCCTGTTGGTAGAAGATACCTCGTCCTTTCTCATGAGACATTGAACCACCAACATCCCAAAACTCAACAAAGAAACTGACAGGACTGGAAGACATGGAACGAGAATACTCGTGTAACTAAAAAGATAAATAATAATTAATTTAATTAATCTATTATTGTAAGTTAATAATCTTAAATTGGTGCCAAATTAAAAGTAAAAATACTTGTTTTTTGGTAAAAATTGTCACCTGCTTTAAGGTAAAAATTAGTTAAAATCATCACCTATTTTAAAGTAAAAAGTACTAATAATTATTTTAAAGTCAAATTTTAAATGTCAATAATACATTATTAATATATTTATTTATTCACTTTGACATCAACCACACAGCCGACTGTACTGACTGGATTAGCTAATACCTCTCCTTCAGTAATAACGTGTACTAACGAGCTCTTACCAACACCTAATGGAGTATCAGTGAATATCAATACACATACACACTAGTAACTGATGTACCTGAATCACCAAGAACTAAGATCTTCACTTTTCTGTAGTCGGTCGCCATTTTGAAAACACACCTTTAGTAGGAGTGGCTACATGTTACCCACGTGCTACCACGTGGGTATTAATAAACCACACCCACATAAGATGGTTGTTGTGAAGAGATTGCCTCCATTACCAACAGTATCTGACATCATTAGACTGTATGGATTGTCAGCCCAACAGAAACTGAGTCAAAATTTCCTGCTAGACCTTAACTTGACAAGTAACTGATACACACACTCACTGAGTCACTGTATGTGTATTCATTGCCTTCTTGTTGCTTTCCTTTATAATTATAATAACTTTAAATGAATAAACACCTTGTGATTTATTGTCAGTATTACCTGACGAATGCTCAATATTGATTAGTTATTGACAGTTGGAAATTTTATTATTAATTTTGTGGGAGGTAAATTTTGATGATTTCATCATTAATTATTATTATTATTATTATTATTATTATTATTATTATTATTATTATTATTATTATTATTATTATTATTATTATTATTATTATTATTATTAGATAAGATAGTACGATATGCTGATATAGCCCAGTCTTCTTGTGTGTGTGAGGTTGGATCAGGTCCTGGTGCTATTACTAGGTCTATTCTTAATGCAACGAATGCTAAAGTGTTAGCCATTGAAAAAGATAGAAGATTCTTACCTTCACTAGAAGTATGGGCACTAGTTATTGTACAGACTAGCCTTGCTATAATGGACGCTGTGTCTCTGTTATACAGAGGTGTCCTTTATGTGGAGGTTATTTTATACAGTAAGGAATGTAATTGGTACACTAGGTGCTGTCTGTTAAATGGAGGTGTACGCTATAGAGAGTGTCCATTAAGAGAGGCTATACTGTATATTATTTTTCTAAAATTACTTTTTATTTTTGCATTTGATGTTTATTATTATCTATTAGTTATTATCTGATGCTACTAATGGACGTTTACAAGTTTGTCATGGCGATATACTTGATTTTGATTGGCCAGGATCATGTGATAATATTGTCACTCCTAAACCATGGGACAGTAAGTTTAAATTTTTTTTACATTTTCTGATACATATTGATGTCATTATGCTGTGTAGAAAGTTTAAGCTGATTCCGACAAAAAATTTTCAAGTTGCGGCCATTTTAAGAAATTGGCCAATTTTTGAAAAATACCTAAGGCTATATCCCATGGTTTTTTTTCAAAAAATGGCTCCGAAATCATCCCAAATTTTTATTACATTTTCTGGTACATATTGATGCCCTTATGCTATGTAGAAAGTTTAAGCTGATTCCGACAAATATTTTTCAAGTTACGGCCATTTTAAGAAATCGGCCAATTTTTGAAAACTACCCAAGGCTATAGCCCATGGTTTTTTTCAAAAAATGGCTCCGAAATCATCCCAAATTTTTATTACATTTTCTGATACATATTGGTGTCCTTATGCTGTGTAGAAAGTTTTGAATCAATTATGACAAATACTTTTGGAGTAATGGACAGTTAAAGAAATTGGAAATTCTAAAATACTAAACCAAACCAGCTTACATTAGCTTCATATGTTCATACAATTTCAAACTGACATAATTTAGTATTCAACTATAACCCACTATTATTGTATATTAAATGATGCTGTTCCTCTGTTAGGTACTGGTGATCTGAGTATCATTGGTAATTTACCATTCTCAGTCTCTATCCCATTGTTGTTGAAATGGTTGAGGTATCTCACTATTAGAGAAGGTCCTTTTAAATATGGACGAACTACCATGACACTCACCTTCCAGAAGGAAGTAGCTGAGGTTTGTAATAAATAATAAGGAAAAATACATGCATTTATAATAATAATTTATTCAATTGTCAGAGGATAACAGCTCCTCCTGGTCACACCCAGAGGAGCAGGCTCTCAATAATGGTCCAGTCACTCTGTACTGCTAAACAATGTCTCACTCTTCACTCATCCACCTTTGTACCACGTCCTAAGGTAAGATAGTGCCATTGTATTTTATTGTATTGTGGGTTGGATCTACTAGTGTTAGTAGTAATTTCACTATTCATAATTCATGTGTGTTGTATTGGCGAAATAGCATTAGCAAAAAATCTATCCAATCCTCCTTTTACGTAAAGTGGGTGTGGCCATGAAATGATGAAAAACATAATGATTGCGCTCAAATGGGACAAAATTTTGAGCTTTCCAGCAACAAAATAATACTGTCTAAAGACTGCTATAGAAGTATATAAGGTAGAGTATAAGTCTTATGGAAAGTGGTGGAACACATAGTTGTAAAAGACCCTAATTATACATGTAGTCTGGATCACTTCATGCATGTGTCTTCTTGATACAACTTGCAAGATTACTCTAATACAGACATTACTATCCAATACTCACATACAAATTTGATGGCATAACAAGTTGGCAACTGAGCATGTTGCCAAGTCTAAGCATAATAACAACACCACAGGAAGCCACTTACTTGTAGTCTTAGGAACAATGGCCCAGCAGTTCAGTAAAGAAGAGCTTTCTTTTGTTGAGGATCTTCCTCAGCATGTGGAGATAGAGTGTCCAGTTTGTCTTAATATCTTGACAGATCCTCATCTGGTGAGCTGCTGTGGACATAATTTCTGTGGGTCTTGTATTGAGAGAGTAAAAGCTAGTAATGGATCCTGTCCTATGTGTAAAGAGAAGGAATATCAAGCAATACCTGACAAGAAGTGTTCACGTATTATCAATGGATTGGAGGTCTACTGCAGTAATAAGGAGAAAGGATGTGAATGGAAAGGAGAATTGAAGAATATGTCTACTCATCTTAATAAAGAGAAGAGAGAAGGAGAATGTCAATATGAAGAAGTAAAGTGTCGATATGAAAAATGTCAAAAGGGAAAGCAGCGTAGATATCTTAAGTATCATGAATATAGAGAATGTCCTCATCACTTAGTTCTGTGCCAATACTGCAGTAGTAAAGGTACATTCCTCTCTATTACAAAGGATCATCACCTGAATAATGAGTGTCCATTAGAGCCAATAGATTGTGTGTTTAGTTGGGCTGGTTGTAATGATAAGCCATTACGTAAAGATGTACATGTACACACTGCTGATACTAAACACATGACACTATTAGCTGTAGCTTATGGACGATTGAAGAAAGAAAATGAACAAATGAAAGAAGAAATGACGAAAGAGGTAGATAAATTAACAAAAGAAATATCAGAGTTGAAGAGTCGTCCTTACCATGAGTATCCTTTATTACCAGTTGATGTTGATGAAGAAGGTGGGGCAGTTCATTTATATGCGAGTGCATGTGGTCAACACATGTTAGCTAGACTGATGATAGGAAATAGAAAAAATTTTTATGGAGATTACTTCGTATTACTTGCATTTCATGATGGAA